ATTTCTAGAAACATACTACTTACCTAAACTAATAAAGACTGAGGTAAAAAATTTGAACTGACTCCCAATAAAAGAAGAAATAGAACAGGTCATAAAAAATTTACCAACAACAAAAAAGCCCTGGCCAAGACTATTTCACTGGAGAATTCTACCAAACGTTCAGAGAAAAACTGACACCAATGCTACTCAAATATTCCCAAACATAGAAAATGATGGAATCTTCCAAAATACATTTTATGAAGTAAGCATAACCTGGATACCAAAACCAGGCAAAGACATCACTAAAATAGAATACTACAGACCAATATTCCTCATGAATATAGACACCAAAATCATCAACAAAATCCTAGCCAATAGACTCCACCAACAAATAATTAAAAAAACAAAACAAAACAAAAAAACATTATGACCAAGTGGGGCTCATACCAGATATGCAAGGATGGTTCAACATTAGATAAACAGTCAATGTCATCCATGACATAAATAAAACAAAGGAAAAGAACCACATGATCATATCAATAGATGCAGAAAAGGCATTTGATAAGATCCAACACCCATTCCTGATAAAAACTCCCAGAAAGACAGGAATAGAAGGGAAAGTCCTCAACATAATGAAGGACTTATATACAAAACCAACAGCCAACAATATTCTCAATGGAGAGAGACTGGAACCATTCCCTTTGTGAACAGGAACCAGACAAGGATGCCCTGTATCACCACCTTCTAGTCAGCATTATATTGGAAGTCCGAGCCAGGGCAATAAGCAAGAAAGGGAAATCAAGGCATCCAAATTGGTAAGGAAGAAGTTCAACTATCCCTATTTGGTGATGATATAATTCTATACATAGAATACCCAAGAATCTCAGCAAAAAAATCTACTGGAACTAATTGAGAGATTTAGCGCAGTCGTGGGATACGATATCAACATACAAAAATCAGTTGGATTCCTCTGCACCAGCAAAGAAATTACTGAAAAGGAAATAAAGAAATCAATACCATTTACAATAGCTACCAAAATAAAATATTTGGGAATAAATGGCACTAGGGACACAAAAGACTTGTACAAAGAAAATAACAAAAGACTACTTCAAGAAACCATAAGAGATCTACATAAATGGAAAAACATACCATGCTCATGGATAAGACTGAACATTGTGAAAATGTCAGTACTGCTCAAAGCAATCTATACATTAAATGCAATCCCAATCCAGATCCCATCAACATTCTTTAAGGATGTGGAAAAACCAGTCACTAACTTTATATGGAAAAGGAAAGAGACCTTGCACCAGCAAAGCACTGTTGAAGAAGAAAAACAAAGTAGGTGGTCTCACACTGCCAGATCTCAAAACCTATTATACAGCCACAGTAGTCAAAACATCCTGGTACTGGAACAGATATATAGACCAATGGAATAGAATTGAGAACCCAGAAATAGATCAACTGATCTATGGTCAGCTGATTTTTGATAAAGGGCTGAAATCCATTAAATGGGGAAGAGAATATTTGTTTAATAAATGGTGGTGGCAAAACAGGATATCCATTTGCAGACAAATGAAACAAGATCTGTACCTCACACCATACACAAAAACTAACTCTAGATGAATTAAAGACTTAAATGTGAAACCTAAAAGTATAAAGTTCCTCGAGGAAAAAATAGGGGCAAATTTAAAGGCCCTAACTTATGACATAAATAGACTGTCAAGCATAACCCAAAATGCACAAACAGCAGAAGATAATCTAGATGAATGGGACCTTCTCAAAATTAAATTTTTATGTGCTTCCAAAGATTTCTCCAAATGGTCAAAAGAGAACCTACTGATTGGCAATGACATATCCCTAAAATTTATAGAAAATACCTTAACAACAAAAAGACAAAGAATCCAGTTAAAAAATGGGCAGATGACATGGATAGACACTTCACCAAAGAGGATATTCAGGCAACCAACAACACATGAACAAATGTTCATGATCATTAGCCATTAGAGAGATGCAAATCAAGACAGTGATGAGATACCATTTGGCCCCAGCACTAATAGCAAAGTTCAACAAGATAGAAAATAACAAATGCTGGAGAGGATGTGGAGAGATTGGGACTCTCATTTGATGAGAGTGGGACTGTCAAATGATACAACCACTGTGGAAGGCAGTATAATGATTTCTTAAAAAGTTGGAATTAGAAATATTGTTTGATCCAGCAGTATCATTACTAGGTATATATCCTAAAAAATGAGAGGGAGGACACAAACAGTTACATGCATATCCATGTTAATTGCAGCACTATTTACAATAGCAAAAAGATGGAAGTGACCTAGGTACCCATCAACAGAAGAATGGATAAGCAAACTATGTTACATACACACAATGGAATACTATGCAACATTAAAGAATAATGTAGATCTGCAAAATGCAGAGTCTGGATGAATTTGGAGGACATTATGCTGAGTGAAATAAGTTAACCACAGAAGGACATGTATTGTATTAGTTCATTATTGTAAAAAGTCAAGGAAAGGTTTATATATGGAAGCAAATTTTCTTTATTGGTTACCAGGCATGGGAGGGGAGGGGAGGACACACTGCAAAAAGAAAAAAAATTAAATATTGTTTCATGGGCTAAATAGAAATGAAATAGTTAATGTTTAATGAATACCCGTTTCTCATTGGTAAGTCTAATCTATCTAGCACAATATAAAAATAAGTTTGTTTCATGAAAAAAAAATTGTTATTGATATTAGTTGCCATTGAGTTGATTTTGATGCAGGGAATTCCTGTGTATACAGAGTAAAACTGCTCTCCACATTGTTTTTAGTGCTGTGTCCTTTCAGAAGCAGATCACCAGGCCTGTCTCTCAAGGCACTTCTGGGAAGTATTCGAACCCCCAAACCTTTTGGCTAGTAGCTGAGCATTTAACTCTTTCTGTAAGAATAGTTTATAGGGTGGACAGCCAAGTCAATTGGCATACCATAGTTCACAAAGCCAAAGTTCTGCAGCCTACTAACCACACCAAACTCACTGCCATCGAGTCAATTTTGACTCATGGCAACTCCCTTTTGGGTTTCTGATGTGGTAAATCTTTATAGAAGTAGATTGCCAAGTCTTCCTTCCACAGAGTGGATGGTAGGTTTGAACCACCAACCTTCTGGTTAGCAGTAAAGTGCCTTAGACACTACACCATGACAGGGGTCTTAAAAACTAACAAGTGACCATCTAAGGTGCAACTAGTGGTCTCTCCTTGCCTAGAGGAAAGAAGAGTGAAAAGAAAACCAAAGACTCAAGGGAACAATTATTCCAAATGACTAATGGACCACTCTAACCTCAGCCTCAATAACCCAGAAACCAGAAGAAGAAGTCAGGTGATGCCTGACTACAAATACCAACCACTCTGAGACCACAGAGGAAGAGAAAAATATAGAACAAAATTAAAAATCATGAAAAGGACAAGACTTAGTACTCTGGGAGACTGGTGGAACCCTTGAGACTGTGGCCCTTAGACAATCTTCCAACCTGGAACTGAACTTACCCCCAGGGATCACCTTGCAGCCAAACAACACATAGGCCTGTAAAGTGAACAATAACAATCGTGAGGAACATACTCCTCAGGATAATCAACCATATGAGACCAAAAGGGTAGTGTTTGCCCACAAACAAAGCTCTGATGGCAGGAAGGAGCAGGAAAGAAGGACAAATGGAAATGGGGAACCAGGGAGGAAATGGGAAGAATGCTATTACATTAAGGCAATTGCAACTAATGTTATAAAGTAAAATGTGTATCAATTGCTTAATGAAAAACCAATTTGCTCTATAAAATTTCATCCAAACCTACAACAGTGTATAGGAAGTTGAAGGAAGAAGTAGGGAAATTAGTTGGGAGACTCTGGCAATAGCACAATAATCTTGGACCAATGGGAGATACTGAGGCATTATTTTTTACTTAGAATTTCTTTTTCTATCCTACTGGAAGTGGGTTTAGCAGGTGAAAGTTGTAAAGTATCTATGCCTTGAGGTTATGAGATGGGGAGACATCCAGAATTAGTGCTATGTTTATACCAGCCAGAAACCAATGTATGAACTATGTGAGTATGCTAATTTAAAGACCCTAATTTTTTAATTCAGAAGTCATATGATCAGTGAGATGGTCATCTGCTACAATGCTTTGTCCACCTAATGGGTGCTCAGTTACCTGCTGCTTGTTTTATTTATTGATCTCAAGATGAGATTTCTGAATACCTTGGATTTTTGTTTGTTGTACTAATGAAAATTTTAAAATATTTTTATGAACTTTAAACTGAATGACACTATCTATAACATCTCCTTGTTTTCTCAGTACTGCAGACCTAAGAAGCCATTTTTTCTTTTTAATCTTTCTCTACACACTAAATTTTCAAGTTTGGAGACAGATGAACAATTGTTTCCCTCTCTCCTTTTGGTCTGTGGCTAGTATTATCTGCTTAGCTAGGATCTTAAGTGTGTACTTTTGTCCCATGTTTAGCTCTTCCACCTAAAGTGATCAAAACCAAACCCACTGCTATCGAGTTGATTTGGACTCATAGCGATGCTTTAGGACAAAGAGCTGCCCCATAGGGTTTCTAAGTCTGTAAATCTTTTCAGAAGCACTGCCTCATCTTTCTCCCATGGGGCAGCTGGTGGGTTCAGAACACCAGCCTTTTAGTTAGCAGCTGCATCGTTTCACCACTGCACCACCAGAGCACCTACTTAAAGTGAAATAAGTCATTTATATATTTGCTGGGTTTTCCAAGTCAAATTCTTGGCTTCTCCCATAGTTATTTAATGTTTGGTAGGAAATGTTTCTCCTTAAGCCAAATAATGAGAATATAAAGTTGGCATTTTTCCAGTTCAGCAAACTTCCAAAAGCTGTCTGCCTCAGAAGGGAGATCACAGCTCTGGTACCTATAATTGATTCTCATTTAAATTTGTCATTATGAGCTGAGCAGTGTACCACTAGCAGGTTAATTTATAAAATCTGGTCTTCCGACTCTCTACAGAAAGAAATTGAAGCTCTTCAAGCAAGAATGTCTGTACTGGAAGCAAAAGATGAACAACTGAGGAGAGAGATAGATGAACAGGAGCAGCTGTTGCAGTCGCCTGGCTGTGAATTGGCCGAGCTGGCAGGCATGTTGCCCCTGGGTGAGCTGCGGGAGATGGGCCAGGCTCTGGATGACACCCTGGCCTCAGCCAATCAAGTTCTCTTCGTTGTGGAACCACCAGAAGCCATAAGGAGGTATTTTTTTTTTTTTTTTTTT